ATTAAAATATACATTATTTAATAATTCTTATTTTAAGCTTGAATATAGTGTTCATATTGAAAAATAAAGATCCTGGTACTATTAATGATTTTTTATTTAAGTAAGACTCCGCCTTCCCCTTTTTGGATAGTAATTTTTCTCTCTTTTCAAAATTAGTAATTGTGCTTCTCATTACTAAAGTCCCCTCACTACATAATTGTAGTGTAGTTTACTTTTAATTGCAAAACCCTTTTTTCCATTTTTTTCCTATTCAAAATTAACTCTCCTTAAACCTCATTAAATAAGTGAACTATGTCAACTTCGTTAACTAAAAACCATGTACCCATCACTCTCAGACACGCATGCAATTGCAAGCAGATAAGATGCACACAAACAGGAGCACTGTAAAGTAGGTGGTATAGGATTTTCAAAACGCACCTAACACCTATTATTAAGTAAACAACGTTTTTTGTGGAAAGTAAAACACCACAGATTGCGACCAAAAAATTTATATGCCTACAATATTACGATCCGGGGAAGGCAACATTCTATCTTTCTGCAGCCCCACCTCCCCCTTTTCTCAACTATCAACTATTATATCATATGAAACCTGACCAAGTTGCTACCTTTGATTACCTCGTCCTTTGTAAATTCAACTTAATTTATTCTTATAATTAAACATACAAAATCCTGCCTGTCTTTGCCATCCCAAAACAATATAAAATATCAATATAATTTCATAATTTGAGCTTCATGATTTGATTCTGTCTATCCAAAAATATAACCACCATAATCATATCGATCAATGATCACTTACTTTGATAATAAAATATATTAGATAGATGCATAAAATTTGGAAAGTGAATGACAGACAGTTTTTTCAATGAATAGGTTTTAACATTATTGTTTCCATATTTAAAAAAAAAACTCATTGAAAAGTTTTTTTTGGATCTAGCATTTAGCTGAATTTGAGAATGAAGAGCAGAATTTTTTCCCACTCATAAATCACATAAAAGCAAATTAATTACATATATTAGCAGAAATTTTGATTTGGGTACTTGATATATATAGCAAAATCACTCTTGAGAAAATTCAACATAAAAAGGCAAAGCAATCACCTACTTGCGATTGATACTTGGTTGATTTGTTCAACATCCTCTCTCCGGGTCTTGAACCAAATCTTCCGATTGTTTTACCGGCCGTCGTGGATCCTCCGAAGTACTACAGGCGTCGGAAACAAGAACGGCAAAACAAATGAAGACCGGAGTGAAGAAGAGAATAAGACCACAAGGCACCATCCACAGTTGACCGTTGGACGGATGAAACTCGTACTCCCACCATCCCAGCATCATCCCGCCGGCGGCGCTCACCAGAAATGACCAAAAGAAAGCTGCATATCTCTTCACAGACCTCCCTGCTCCCTCTCCGGATGAATCCGTTACAATCTTTTCATTCCTCTTTTCCTTATTTCCCCAGCCCATCACAAAAATCCGAAACCAGAACATCTTACCCCAAAATCCCATCAATTACATACAAAGAAGAAGAAGAAGATCATATAATTAAACAGAAGAAAATATACACCAAGAACCAGGACGTACCTATGTAGAAATAAGATGTGCTCTCACTCTAATAATTCTAGTTAGGTGTTCAGAGACAAATTAAGTAAAAGGGGTATGCGAGATAGCTAAGGGTGAGGCATTGGATTTTGCTATACGCAAAAGACCATTGCAACTGCCCATTAGACGTGCTCGTTTTATTTTCATCTATATTTAGACTTTAGAGTGTTTCTGAATTAGTTTTTAAATTTTTTAAAATTAATTTTAAAAGCATACTCTTAAATTAAATTATTATATTTAAAAAAATTAAATTTTTAATACTAATTCTAAGATTTAAAATTCTAAATCTAATTTATAATACAATATTTTAATTACCAATAAATCTAAGTTGTTATTCGTCAATACGAAGAAAAGATGAAAAAGGAAATCATTACTTCGAGTATTTTAACGCTAACGAGCAAGGATGTAACCAGGGTAGATTCTATTTGTTTTTTTTCAAAGCGTGTCATGTGGGTTTGTTTTGGACAGCTGAGGTGGCCTCCTTTAGTCCAATTAACAAATAATTTGTACGAAAATAATTATAATTAATCAAGTTGTTAAGCCCCAGAGTAAGACCTAGACCAGCTGGAAAATATCAAATCCATCAAAAAAAAAAAAAAAAGTCGGAATGAGGAGTCTTTTGGACAGGTGGCTAGGAGAGAATTGGCTTTACTATATGTAGGAAAATTTTATCTAAGGACGGTTCCAACTTCCAACTTCTTCCTTAGGATGACACTTTCTCTTGCAACTGTTAAGGTAAGTGGTTTGTAATACAAAAAATATTATTCCCAGTTTGGCAATCATGCCCACTTTACTTTTTCTCAACGTCAAAAGAAAAAAAAAACCTTAACTTTACTTTCTCTCAAGCTTTTTAGAGGTAACTGTTGCCTTCTTTTTTCTTTTCTTTTTTTAACATAGAGGTGATCTTTTATGTTATGTGATCATATGCACAACATTTAATTAGTGTGTTTTGTTTTTTATTTTTATGTTGGGTTGCATGATAATTGATGCGAGTTAATTAATTTTTTATTGTCTTTTAATTAATTTAATTTATATATTATATGATTTAAATTTATATTCTTTTATTTTTATAAAAAGAATTAACTCTAAATCACACGTAAATGGTTATTAGTAGGCAGTTTGCTGTG